CAAACTGTTGATGCTATATACATCCCGTATAATAATAATAATAATAATGTAGGATAGCAAAACTTCACCTTTTGAGGCTCTCATCCACTTTCATACCTGAATGGCATTTATTCTCCACTGTGTATGTATTTTGGTCATGTCTAGAAAACTAAAAATTGCATTTTATACAGAATAGCAAATAGAGATTCCATTATCACACCTGACAGTGTGATGCTACTGAATGTTTTAATTATTATGTTACGCAGTATTTTATAGAAGTGCTGTTGGAAACACGCAGCCAAACTTTTCCTGTACCTTTCCTAAATATTATTCTGTTTGCAGGTAATGCCATTTTATCTGAAATGATCAAATTAAGTGCTGACAGTGATATGTAGCATGAATGTAAAATGGACAAGAACAAAAGCTGTTTATTACACATCCCTGTTTTTTCCTATACTTCACATCAGATATATCCCGTAAATGATAAATTGCTGCTATTCAAATTGTTTTTCAAAATTATACAATTTAAAGCTTTTCTTCCAAAAGGATCTCTTGGTAGATAATATGTGTACTGTATATGGCAGAGCATAGAAGAGGATTGATAACAAACATATGTGGCTATTAGGATACTGTTAATCTAAGTATCAATATGTCAATAACATAAATTACATTATCATTATTTGTATGTATTTATGTGTGCATTGCAAAATGGGGGGGTTCAAGTATTGTTAGTGTGTTGTAGGAGTTTAATATATCCCTTCTTCCTGCTCTGTCATGTATGCTTGATGTTCAGAGAAGTGTTTTGCAATTTCCAGTGGGCTGGAGAGACGGTAACGGTATTATAACGCTGGGAACAGTTGTTTGGTACAACAGCTTCCCCAGAGCTGCAGGAAAACCATAATGCTGCCTGAATAGTCACATGTATGTAGAAATACAGGTTGTGTGCCTCTTGTAGCAGGTGGAAAACTATAGGGGTGAGTAAAAGGACTTAATACTAAATTCTGTTAACTTATATATTATTTATTATCATTCAATTCATTCTATAATATAGTATATTATTGTTAATTCTATAAGACAAAGAGCAGTATGCAAGGTGCTGAAACCTTATGTGACCAATCAGAAATTATCTTTTTATTGATCCAACTGCTCTAAAAGGTTAATGATGCTTTTGGCAGTGTTGTTTTTCTAGCATTTTGTGATTCCTTATTAAATAAACTGTACAGTTTCCACAGAAATGTTAATGCTTAAAAGGTTATTTATATGGTATTCACATAAAAGGCACATAGAGAGAATGTATGAGTTGTAATTGGCTCCTGTGGCATTCATATGTAAAGATCAAGTTTTCTTTTTTTAATTTTAGGTTGTCATTAACAATGGTACCAAAATTATTTCTGTGGTCCATGCCAGGAAAATGTTAGCCAGGATTATAATAATAATTAATATAATAACATATATTAAGTATGACTTTAGTCAGCATTTTTTCTGCATGTCAACTTAAATAATAGTGTGTATTGGTTAAAAAACACTTGCTGCATTTATGTTGTAGGCTCTACAGCATATATGTGTGCATATTTCATGGCACATTAATTCTTTTGTAAATTCTTTTTAATTTTGAATTCTTTGAAAATTCTCTGTTCTAGGACTGTAAAAAAGTGCTTATGCCTAGGCTGCATAAAATCACCATAGTAGTGTGGTACAATTTTTAGTAAGGATTAATTCCTGTTCTAGCATTTAAGATGTTTCAAATGTATTTAATTAATTTCTTTATTAAAACTAGAGAATACTGGAGAAATTTTAAATAATCATTATCCAAAAGCAAATGATCAGTCCTTAGAAATTTTCATGTACTACATGCATGATGTGTATATGTAGTATTATATGTTATAACTATACCTGTTCTGTCTACACAGGGTCTAGGTTACAAAAAAAAATAAAAAGCAATCTCTACCTAAGCATGTATTAACATCATATAAATTTATATCTAGAGATTTTTGTTTTAGTCACCTTAAACTTGCATTTGTGTTTGGAAGAATAATAGGCGACAGTGAAAATAACTTGGGCAGCACAGTGGCTAAATGGTTAGCACTTCTGCCTGGCAGTACTAGGGTCGTCGGTTCAAATCCCAACCATGGCACCACCTGCCTGGAGTTTGCATGTTCTCCCTGTGCCTGGGTTTCCTCCCACGCTCCAAAGACATGCTGGTAGGTGAACTGGCTCCTGTCTAAATTGGCCCGTGTATGTATGAATGGGAGTTAGGGACCTTAGACTGCACACCCCTTGAGGGTTAGGGGCTGATGTGAATGTGCAATATATATGTAAAGCACTGTGTAAATTGGCGGCACTATATAAGTACCTGAAATAAATAAATAACTAAATCTCTCCCTCCCCCAGTTATCTTTGACCTCACTTATTATATACAGTAAGTAGTAATAAACGTAATCATGGCTTAACTTTTAATTACGTTTGGTCGCATGCCTACCATTACCTCAAACAGAAGATTCTAAACTAATATATCAAGCTTATCTTTAAAAAAGACTTGTTACAATAACTTAAAGTGAATCTAAATGAAAACTTTTGCGTAGTTTTGGAGAGAGTGTTGAGGGGTTAGAATCCCTATCAGGATTTAATTGCTGAGGCATGGAGGAAAGCAACAGACAAATATTTGTAAAGCCAGAAAATTGCTTTATTATAAATCTCATGCAGTAACAGCCAATGTGTTTCAGGATGCAACAATATAAATTATGAAAGTTAAATAAATGCAGGATCAAAAAAAGACAAAGTAAATTCTTAAGTAAACCACACTATTATATAACACAACTGAAAGTATACATTTAAAATAACATCTTGGGTGCTTCAATGGTTAAAAACAAGATTGAGGTGGTTCAAATAAAAACACATTTAACATTAGTATACTGAGTTACACATTGTGCTAAATACATAACAGTTCATTAAAATTGAACAAATGGCAAAACGTTGTTTTTCATTTTGGATAGGGTAAGTTAGGGTTATAACCCCTTTCAGTTGTTCTTTTTTTTTTTTGCTATCTGTGTCCTATTGGGGAGATTTCACTTCACATCCTGTCCCAATTTAAGAAGTTAGAGGAAATCCCTCCAAAGCAAGAGAACCCCTAGTTGTCACAAAGGTCAATAGAACAAGTGTCCCTGTTGGAAGATTTTTCCTGTTCTGATGAAAATCCAAAATTTGGGAGTTTCTCTCACTTTCATTCTCTGATGCTAGTAAACATGACAAACAGAAAAGGTTAAAGTGGTTGTAAACCCTTACATATACCCTTTGAAAATATTAGCCTGAGGAGATAAACTGTACCTGTTTATCAGCAGCCCTCTCTTCTCTACAGCTCTTTAAAGGTCACACATCAAATATTATTTCTAAACTTCCAGAAGGCAGGGGATAGGGATCTGATATTACACACTACACAGCTCAGAACAGAGAGCTGAGTGTAATCTGACACCTAAGTGGAGGAAATGGACACCCACTCTCCACACAGTCTCTAATGGAAACTAGGGGGTGGCATGGCTTTGTCCTGGGATTGCCTGATGTTGAGAATAACTATCATAATTATCAGAAATGACTCTTGAAGATAGCAGAGGAAGGAGAGAGCAGACAACACTCATGCTTTGGATTGAGGCAAGTACACATTCATTTCAGAGGTTTACAACCACTTAAACCTCCCTAATAGGCACAGACATAAGTAAAAAGCTAACAGGTGTTCTAATCCCTGTTAATATGATGGACTAGAGCAGTAAATATGAACTGAAGCAAATATTTACTTTGGTGAAAGTGGAATAAAAATGTTCACTTGACTGATGCATATAGAGTATATTTCTGGACAGTATCACTGAATTAAAATGGAGGAGGTTAGTATAAAAAGCTAAAAAGTAGGAGAACAATTTTAAAAAAGATGACACTAAGGGCTCGTTCACACTTGACTGTTTTACCAACGCTTGCCAAACGCCCCTATAGCGTTGGTCCGGCGTTTGCGGAGAATTTTTTAACGCTCCACAAATGCCGCATGCGCGTTGCACATGCACATGCTCCGCAAATGCCTATAATGAAGTTTAAATGGTGTTACTGCTCCGCAAACGCCGCGCCACCGCATCACAACCGCGCTGCAAACGCCGGCCGGGCGTTTGCGGAGCGGCACCATAGACTAAAATAGGAGGCTTCAACGCCTCCTGACTGGACCAGAGGTGTCCGTTTTGCCACGACGCTAACGCTTCCGTTAGAACAGCACCATGTGCTGCAATGTGCAGAATTGTCAGAGGCGTTTGGGAAGCGGTAAAACGCCTCCCAAACGCCTCTCTGCCGCCTGCACACAAAGCTAGTGTGAATGCAGCCTTAAGGTTGCTGAGAAACATTAAAGCTGCTAATAGAACAAAAGACTTGGATTGTTGTGAGATGATTTGAGATACTATTATTATTATTATTATTATACAGTATTTATATAGCGCCAAAGGGTATGCTCAGCGCTGTACAGTAGCAAGGGGGACAGAACATGAGACAAGACAGTAACAATACACTACACGAGGGGTTCGAGGGCCCTGCTCTTTCAAGCTTACAATCTAGGAGGGAGGGGAAGGTGGCACAGGAGGAGATGGCTGTGGGGGATGGAGTGGTGGGTGGAGTGGAGGAGGTTAATTGTTAGGTGAGGTCGGGTGTTAGGTGAGGTTGGGGTAGGCTTCCCTGAAGAGGAGGGTTTTCAGGGTGCGCCTGAAGGTGAGGAGGGTAGGTGACAGTCTGATGGATTGGGGTAGGGAGTTCCAGAGGATGAGGGAGGTCCTAGAGAAGTCCTGCAATCGGGCGTGGGAGGAGGAGACCAGGGAGCTAGAGAGCAGGAGGCCCTGTGAGGAGCGGTGGGCTCGGGCAGGGTAGCATCTGGGTACCAGATCAGTTATGTAGTTCGGGGCGGCATACTAAGCTAAAGTGTATAGGACTAAAGGCTTTATTGCTGTCTGTGCTTCCACTATCAGGATCGACCCTCTCTGTTTGTCCTGGTGAGCACTGTTACAGGACTGAAAAGCAAATCATACATTTTAAAATGTAACCTGAACAGTAATAGATGGAAAATCTACAAAGCAGGGACACTTCTTACATTGATAACTGTCTGAGAGGGGATTTTCCTCACTTTGGAAAGATTTCCTTTCACTTCCTTATGTGTCTGCATGACAAACAATTAAGGGAAATCTCCCGTATGGGGCACAAATGCGAAAACCCCCCCCCCCCCAAAATTTTTTTTTTTTCCAATGCTTACTGAAAATGTCACAAATATAAAGCTTTATTCTAATCCTTATAATGTATTGACATTATAATGTCCATTGACAAGGTTACATCTTGTATTGGTTTAAAGTGGTTCTAAAGGCTCATGGTTTTTTACCTTCATTCATTCTATGCATGAAGGCAAAAAACCTTCTGTGTGCAGCATCACCCAAAGCCCCCCTAATACTCACCTAAGTCCCCTCTCGATCCAGCGATGTGCACTGGAGTCTCGACTATCCCGGGACTCCCTCTTCTCATTGGCTGAGACAGATAAGAATAGACATACACCTGAGTTCTATTCCACCATGGGTGAAAGATATGATATAAAAAAAAGTATTACGTGTGATAGCATATATGTCACTTATTTACTAAAGTGCCCGCGTGGATTATATTATATTGGACGCCCAACTAGGAAGCTATCCAAGTGCATTGGAGAACATAACACTCACATTAGAAATGGGTATAGAAAACACAGTCTGTCCAATCATTTTAGGGTGGCACATAGTCAGGACCCCTCCCACCTTTCCTTTACAGGTATACATTGGGTAACTAGACACTGGAGAGGAAGTGATCTTGTTAAAGAAATCTCAAAAAAAGAAACGAGATGGATATATGAATTGAATTCTCTGGCCCCGAAAGGGTTAAACATAGATGTCAATTTGATTACTGATTTTTGATGACAATATCTCTCATCAACCAATTTATGTCTAAGTCTGGCCCTATGGTAAAACAAAAAAGAAATAGTGAAAATAGGGGGGCTATAGAAGCTACAAATTCATTTATTTAGCAATGGTTGGTAAGAGGGATCCCAATATTGATCACTAGATGGCAATATGGGAACCAATGAGGGGGCCCAAGGATGTTTAAGTTTCGATCTATGGTAAAACTAGTAGAAAAATAGTGAGATTAGGGGGGTACAGATGCTGTATACCCAATAAAATAGTGGGTTTCATGAGGTCAGTTTTATATTGAACAATGGCAATGTGTATCAACAAGGTGAATGTTAGGATCGCACGGACTCTTGTATAAGTAGTTTTTTAGGGCATAATAAATAAATATATTTTTACAAAATATTTTTGTTGTTTGTATTTGCAACTTGTATTGTAAATGTCGGTACTAATCCACATAACGGAATATATTATTAAGTGAACCAAAATAGTAGGGAATCCATTTTGTTGAAGACCAATTGTAATTGACCAATCATTGAAAAGGGTACACTATAAATACCCTCGGGAATATGGCAGACTGGAGCTTCCTGAGGACGCCAAGCAGCGAAACATGCAGAGGCTGTATCTACAGTTGTCATATCCAGTTAAGTTCTCCAGGAAGCATTCTCGCTCAGTGTATTGGCGAGATATTGGGCACCTTATTTGTAACTGCAATATTTTTACTGGTATTTTTATTGAAAAGTTGTAATAAATTCTACAGTATGAGAGATTCTTTCTTTATGGTCTTTGGTTTATATTAATGGAGAGTTATCGGGCATACAGAAAAACTGATGATTGGAGGAAATTGAGCATCAGCAGTTAAAGAGCATCTGGGATATCAAGTGCTTTATGACCTTTTATTTTAATTAAGAGGGTCATGAATCAGTGGTGAGTGCAGGGGTGGACTGACAACTCATGCTGCCCCCGGGCAATAGGGGATCATGGGGCCCCTGTGTCCTTGCACAAACTCAAAAAAGCCTATGAAAAAGGTACCAGGGGCATCTCATGGGGCCCCCTACTGACCCCCCAGGCCCTCGGGCAGTGCTCGAGTTTCAATATGGTCAGTCCGCCCCTGGGTGAGTGTATTGTGGGGGCACATGAGGTGAAGCACTTTTGGAAGAAGCGGTGGCACAAAAAGAGGATTTTTTCCACACTGGTGTTGGACTGTGAGTTACAATTTATTCACTACATATCTTACAGTGATTTGATTTGGATTTTGTATTATGTAGATTGATTGGGGGATAGTTTTGTATGGTGTAAATGCCTACTTGCTGCTATATATTAATTTGTAGGAGTACCAGGGGTACTCTTAGAGGGGCAGCTACACTTATTCACATGTGATAACTATATTCTTTTTATTTTATGGTAAACACAGTGCATCTACATAGTTGTTATGCATGAGATATAATGAAGTTTTTTTTATCACTTTTGTAATAATTTATTTGTATTTTTTTTATTATTCTATTGCACCAATCACATCATTTTTGGACTAGGTCTGTGTGGTATTTGAAAAATGTTAACATGGAGAGTGGGTGCCATACCTTTATTTTCCAAAAAGCCAAATATGACACTCAAAAACCAAAAATGGACTGGACAAAATTATTACCTTCTCAAAATTGTAAGAAATAATTGTATTCCAAGTTTGTGATGCTCCTGTAATTTGTAATTAAACTCACCTGTATTAATTAACATATGCTCACAGTATAGAGATCACTCCAGCAACCAGGTAAAATGGTGAAAAATTGACTCATTTGAGTTTGAGAACAAAAATTGTGAAAAAGCATGGGAAATCTCAATGTTACATGTCCATCTCCAGAGATCTTAACCGCTTCCTGTCAGCCCTATAGCAGAAGTATTGCTACAGGGTGGCACGGGCGCACAAAGTCACGTATATTAACATGATTTTGCATTTCCGGGTCGCAGCCACTGCTGTCAATCACTGGGTCCCGGCCAGAGATTACTCGCTGGTGCCCGGTGATTGCCGGGCATCTCTGACTTTCATGTAAACCAATTCATTTACATGTATTGGGATTTTTTTAGCAATGACATGTAGCAGAATACATCTTGCCTAAATATATGACGGAATTCGATTTTTAAAATGTTTTTACTGAATATGTTTTATAGCAAAAAGTAAAAAAAAATTTCTCAAAATTGTTGTTTTTTTTATAGAAATTTTTTTTTAAAATGCACAGTTGATCAAATACCACCGAAAGTAAGCTCAGTTCGTGGGAAAAAAAGGACACTAATTTAATTTGGGTTCAGCGTTGCATGACTGCGCAATTGTCAGTTAAAGTTTGTCAGTGCCGTATCGCAAAAAATGGCCTGGTCAGGAAGGGGGGTAAATCCTCTGAAGGGCAAGTGGTTAATGTTCCTGTGTCCACTGTGTGCAACATTGTCAAGAAGTTTACAGCCCATGGCATTGTAGCTAATCTCCCTGGACCTGGACGAAAGAGAAAGAATGATCAAAGATTGCATTGAAGGATTGTTCAAATGGTGGATAAAGAACCTCGATCAACTTCCAGACAAATTCAAGCTGACCTTCAGACACAGGGTACAACTGTGTCAGCTTGCACTATACATCGCCATTTAAATGAAAAGGGATGGTATGGTAGGAGACCCAGGAGGATCCCACTGCTGACACAGAAACATAAAAAAGCCAAAACTTACCAGAGGAAGCCAAAATCCTTTTGGGAGAATGCTGTGGACAGACGAAACAAAATTACAGCTTTTTTTTTTTTTTTTCAGAAAAAGCAATGGGGCCTTTAACCACTTGCCAACTGGGTACTTATACCCCCTTCCTGCCCAGACCAATTTTCAGTTTTTAGCACTGTCGCATTTTAAATGACAATTGCGTGGTTATGCAACATTGTACCTATATGAAATGCTTGTCTTCTTTTCACACAAATAGAGCTTTCTTTTGGTGGTATTTAATCGCTGCTGGGTATTTTATTTTTTGCGCTATAAACTAAAAAAGAGCAAAAAAAAAAGTTTTTCTTTGTTTCTATTATAAAATGTTGCAAACAGGTAATTGTTCTCTTTCACTGATGTGCGTTGATGAGGCTGCACTGATAGGCAGCACTAATGGGCACTGATAGGCAGCACTGAAGAGGTGGCACTGATGGGCAGCACTGATAGGCAGCACTGATGAGCTGGCACTGATGATGCTGCACTGATAGGCGGCACTGATAGGTGACACTGATGGGTGGCACTGACTGCCAGCACTACTGGGCACTGACTGGCAGCACTGATGGGCACTGCTTGGCAGCACTGATGGGTGGCATTGATGGGAGCACTGCTGGGCATAGGGGGTGGCACTGCTAGGCACTGATGGGCACAATTGGGTGGCACTGCTGGGCACTTGTGGGCGGCAATGGTGGGCAATTGTGGGCGGCACTGGTGGGTGGTACTGCTGGGCACTGATCATCAGGGCACTGATCATCAGTGCCCTGATGATTGGTGCCGATCTGTCCTCTGACAATTGCCGGTTATCGGCAGTACTTTCCTCACACTGTGACAGAGTAAGGAAAGTGCAGCCGATAACAGGCAACTGCATTTACCGGTGATCTGCTGTGTCATTGGACACAGCTGATCATGTGGTAAAAGGCAGCTGTGATTGGCCTTTTACCACATCACGTGATCAGTGATCACAGAGATTGCCGGGTGAAAGCCCCTGGGGATGCACGGGAGGATGCGTTCTGGGAGCACGTCATATGATGCTATAGCGTGGTTGGTAAGTGGTTAAAGAAAATAATACAGTTCTTACAGTCAAACATGGTGGAGGTTCACTGATATATTGGGGTTGCTTTGCTGCTTCAGGCACTGGATGTTGTGACCATGTGCATGGCATTATAAAATCTGAAGACTACCAAAGAATTCTGGGGTGCAATGTGGGCCCAGTGTCAGAAAATTGGGTCTCTGTCAGAGGTCATGGGTCCTACAGCGGGACAATGACCAAAAGCACACCTCAAAAAGCACACAGAAATTTCTTCAGACAAAGCGCTGGAGAGTACTGAACTGGCCAGAAATTAGTCCAGATCTCAATCCCATCGAGCACCTGTGGAGAGATCTCAATACCGCAGTTGGGAAAAGGAACCCTTCCAATCTGAGAGAACTGGAGCAGTTGGCAAAAGATGAGTTTTCCAATATTCCAGTAGAGAGGTATAAGAAACTCATTGATGGTTACAGGAAGCGATTGATTTCAGTTATTTTTTCCAAGGGGTGTGCTACCAAATATTAAATTAAGGGTGCCAACAATTTTGTCCAGTCCATTTTTGGGGTTTTACGTGGAATGTGTTAGATTTGGCTTTTTGTTTCTCCAATTTTTGTATCATACCAATACAAAAAAAGAAATAAACATGAGAATGCCTAAACTTTTGTAATTGCAACAATTTTCTAGGTGCATTATCTGATAGAAATGCAGGGGTGCCAATATTTTTGGCCATGACTGTAATTCAATTACAACACTACTAAAGCAATGCTTAGTTCCAGGAAATTATAGAGATCTCACTACATGAATTCCTGAAAGTCATAAAAATGATGATAGTGATGTTATTTAAATCCAGCAAATGGTGAAATAGCAGTCTTAGGAAGACTGACACAAATAGGTTTGGGCAGATCATTATGTATACTGTAGATGTAACTTGGTTCAGTATGTTGGAGCCTACATAATCTTGGGTTAACTATATTTGGGCTTTGCATAGTTTTCACACAACTGAAGAAGCAAGCTACAGTATATACAATTAAAACCCAGTATGGCATTTTACGGAGCCATGCTCAACACAGAAATTGCTATACTATGCAGGTTTCAGATATCCAGGTACATTTAAAAATGCAGTAGAGATTTGACCAGCTGTGGTATATGGCTTAAAATTAGACTGTCTGGTGCTCATTCTAATACATAGCCTTGAATAGTTTGTCTTCTATTATCTGTTGCCAAGTATAGAGTATATTCTGACTCCAATTGTTGTAATAGAGACTTTCACTTCCTGGGACCTTTGTGTCTGTCCTGTATATAGCAGAGACTCTCATCGCAGCAATCGTGGTCAGATAGCTGAACTCAAACACTTGAAATCCATAAATGTCTTCAGGGCTGCTGTTAGAAACCATGGGGCCACAGACAGCCAACCTGATAGGGTCCCCCTAAAAAAAACCACAAAAAATGCACAGTTTACTGTGCTTCAGTAATGAATGAACACAGTGAGTGATCTGTACCAATATCTCTTAGATTGTAAGCGCCAAGGAGCAGGGCTCTCCTAACCTTGTATTGAACTGTTTCGTTGCTGTATTGTCTCCCTTTATAGTGTAAAGCGCTGAGCAAACTGTTGGCGTTTTATAAATCTTGTATAATAATAATAATTGTGTTCATTCAGAAAAGGAAGGGGCTGGTAAATGTGACATATTTAGAAGACCCTTCCCCTGCTCTCCATCCAGAAGGATCCTATTGTGCGTTTGCAGTTGCTCTTGGAAAGGAGAGGAGGGAAGCCGGCACACAGGGGGACATGGTCAGGAAGGGGAAATGTACGATGCATAGGGAGGGTGATGGGTGCATGGGGGGGGGGGGGGGGCAATTACTGGAACCGATCCCCTATATGGCTCCCCCTGCAGCTGCTGAAAACAGGCAAGAGGGAGAGAAGAAGAAGCCAGAGAGAGCCATATAGGGGATTGGTTCCAGAAATTTCGCCCCCAAGTCAAATACATAAAAGTGCAGCACTTAAAAGTATTTCAAAGTATAATAGTATAAAATTATATTTAAAATTGGTGACAGTTCGTGATAAAGTGCTTGATACAGGAGTTGATGGTGACTTCAAATTCCAGTGGCATGCCAGTGAATAGTAAAAATACGCACTCCCAGATGCGTATCTTTAAATATGCATATAATTAGTATGACCAGGATGGGATGGATGAGTTGGGCCGTTTTAACAGACTCTCCTCCCTCTGGATGGTAGGCAGCTACAGAGATGTCTCCCTTGGTGTGTGTGTGTCAGGGATCTCCTCGATCCCTGCCGCGATGGTCCCGGCGCAGGCGCAGTGCACCGCCCTGTGCAGGGACACGGGCACTAGGTCCGGGCCGGCCGCGGCGTTCGAGTTCGCGCATGCGCAGTAGAAGCAGCGGCCGCCCGCTGGGCACCAATGGCAGCGCAGGGCGGGATATTTAAATGGCCCTGAGCTGTCATTCAGTGCCTTCTGGTCTTCCCTGCATCCTGTGAACCTGTGAACCTGTACCCTTTGTAAGTTTTGACCCGGATTATACCTGACCTTGCTGCTTTCTCCTGTTCTGACCCTTGCTTTGCCTGACCTCTCTCCTGAATGCCCCTGATTGGATTTGACCTGCTGTTGCTGACCTGGCGTGTGACCCGACCATTCTATGCCCGCTGCCTTGTACCTTGCCGTCCTCTCTGTTACCGACCCGGCCCGTCTGACCTTGCTCATCCATCCATCCATCCCTTGCAGTGGGGTCTTCTGACCTCCTCACATCAGACTCTTCCCCGTGGGAGCCCTTGGCGCATACTACTACCACTGACGGACGCACCCAGTAGTCACGACCTGGTCTCGGGGAGCTCCAAGTCCATCCCCACCATCAGGGGCCCTGGTGAACAAGCACCCTGGGACTTAGATTCCGTGCGCTGGGGACGCCTATTCAGTGGAGTGCTAGTGGTACCGCCAGGTGGTCCCTTACAGTGTGTATGGAACCCAGCCAGAGGCCTCCTTAATGGATGGGTGGATGCTTGTCAGCTAACACTGGAACAGCTCCCTCCTCTGGGTTGGTGCCACATGTGATTGGGCTCCTGTATCCTAAACTCTCTCCATCTCCTTAATTCATGAAGCTGACGATCTCCTCTCCAGAGCTGACAAGCACCCACCCATTCATTAAGGAGGCCCCTGGAGGCAATACAGTATGTGTAACTTCATTCTGTGGTTATGTAGAAACAAAGGCTAATAGGCAAAGTAAACAAGGGAATTGTAAACACACTTTAAAGTAAACACACATTGAAGCTGATGAAATGAACCCTTTTGGAATTCAAGGAATTCAACCCAAGATCATAAGATTAACCACTAGCCTACCGGGCACTTATACCCCTTCCTGCTCAGGCCAATTTTCAGCTTTCAGCGCTGTCGCAGTTTGAATGCGCGGTCATGCAACAATTGCGCGGTCATGCAACACTGTACCCATATGCAAATTGTATCTTTTTTTGAGACAGATAGAGCTTTCTTTTGGTGGTATTTAATCACCTCTGGGTTTTTTATTTTTTGCTAAACAAACCAAAAACAACTGAAAATTTAAAAAAAAAAAACATTTTTTCTTAGTTTCTGTTATAAAATTTTGTAAATAAGTGATTTTTCTCCTTCACTGATGTGCGCTAATGAGGCTGCAGTGATGGGCACTGATAGACGGAACTGATGGGCACTGATGAGGAGGCACTGGTAGATGGCACTGATGGGCATTGACAGGCTTCACTGATGGGCACTGAAAGGCAGTACTCATATATGGCACTGATAGGCGGCACTAACTGACACTGATAGGTGGCACTGACTGGCGCTGTTAGGTGGCACTGACTGGCACTGTGTAGGAGGCACTGACTGGCACTGACAGGTGGCACTGATTGGCAGCACTGACTGGCATTGATAGGTGGCACTGACTGGCACTGAAAGGCAGCTCAGAGGGGCACTGATATGTGGCATTGATGTGCACTGGTAGGTACTGATATGTGGCATTGATGTGGCACTGATGGGCACTGGCAGGTGGCATTGATGAGCACTGACAGCTGGCATTGATGGGCACTGAGAGGTGGTATTGCTGGGGCTACACAGATCATCAGGGCACACTGATCATCAGTGCCCTGATGATCAGTGTACATGTCCCCTCCGAGGAATGCCAATTACCAGCTCTTCTCTCCTCACGAGCTGTCAGCGTGACAGCTCGAGAGGAGAGAAATGCAGATAACCGGCATTTCCTTATTTACATGCGATCAACTGTTATTGGACACAACTGATCACATGACAGAGCCGAGGTCTTCGGCTTTTACCGTTGATCGGTACTCAGCACACCACCGATCGCCACGCTGCGCGCCCCCGGGGGCATGCACGTGCAGTTACAGTGGGAGGACATCGTATGACGTCCTCCCAGAACGAGAGAACCAAATTGCGCCCGTCATTTCCTTATATGGCGGTTAAAGTGATTGTAAATCTTTTTTTTTTAAATAACATTGTATATTTACCTGCTCTGTGCAATGGTTTTGTACACAGCAGACCCAAACCTCCTCTTCTGTCCTCCCCCATCTGTGTTTTGGGCTCCTCCACCCTAGAGCTGAGCCCTAGACATTTTGAATTGATGACCATCCGGGAGAGCGCGGTGGTGAGCCATGTAACAAAATATACATTATATGCTGACTTGCAAGTGTTTTTAATCTGGGCGCTAATAAATTGTTTTATATATAGAGAGCACTATGGTTCCACCTTTCTGTATTCCATAATACATATTATATGAGAACGTCAGCTGAAAGAGTGTGGCGGTGCCGGTAGAGGAGCTGGAGGAAGACCACAGAGGGTATACACAAGTGTGTCCGCGTATGTTGAGCGCATAGAAACCTATTGATGAGGTTAAAAAGTGAGGTGAGCAGGTTTTGCACCTAATGGTGGTGACATGGTTGACACTAAAGAAGAGAGAAGATTTATTTAATACACATTGCACAGGGGTTTTATAAGAGGCTTTTTTCATGGGATTTTAATTATTGTTTTTGATAGTTTTCTTATATGAGATATTACTTTGTTGCGCTACACTATATTGTTATTCATGCTTTTACACATGTCTCTTACAAATGCGTACAATAACACATTTCTTTGCAGACAGCATACTTTCAAATCCACATCAAATACATAATATTGCAATCTAGATGTATCATAACTTTAACAATGAATAGACTTACAATCATATATGTATCAAAGGGAAAAAGAGGTGAGCTTCATTGATGTTGTTCTTCTGGAAGCTGAAATGGCACAGCAGTGATTTGTAGATAAACTTTATGAACAAAATAGAAATAACTTCCTGTTCATGTTTGAAAGGAATAAAAACATAGGCTGCAGTTGCAGTGAATACCCAAAAGATGGCTCCCTACTCAACACAATCATTTGATAGACAGTAAAGGTAGTATAAAACATTTGGTAATCAAGTGATGTGTTTTTTAAAAAAAGGTCCATACATTAGATGAAAACGTTGGACAATTGAGGAAAATAGGTTGTTGGTCCTTTCAAATAAGGGACAGTTGGAAGCTATTTTCCTTTACAGATCTTCAACCTGGTAATGTAGTGATTTTTTAAAAGGGATGATTGGTACATTGCTGCCAAAAGCAGTGAAAGACTTTCAGGTGTTAAATATATTATCTTCATGAACAGTAAGCCACAGAAGACCTGAGAGACGATGATTTTAAACTTGGAGTGGAAGAGTTGTATAAAGCATACGACCACAGTACACAAATACTGTATGTAAAATTTAGCACTGAAATTAAAACCCATGTTATATGAGTAGTTTTTTAGGCAGCAATGTTTTGCCAGTGACATATTTGCTATACCTCACTTATTATCCTATAGAGTTCCTGCTTTACTCCAACATGTTGTTTTTTATTTTAACAGCCCCTTCATATGTATCCCTTTAATTCTGTTGATATATTCGGCACTTCCATGCATTTTTGGTTTTATTGTTGCGTTTCTTCTCATCACTGCTTGGTGAGCAGTCCTTTACCTAGACTAACTTTTCTCTGGCAGATAACGGGGCCAGAATATTGAGGAAATGCAGAAAAAACACAGTATATTGCTGCTGGAGGGGACTTTACTTCTCTTGCTGCTCAAAGGTAAGGAAAATTATAATTTCATTCATTGGGCATGATTTGAGCTTGAGTGAAGGCCATTTATGTTCACTTCCACCATCCTTACAAGTGAAGAATCTGTTCTTTTATTTTCAATATCTCCTAAATATAATTGATTGATGTGAACGCAGATGCATGTCACTTGACCTCATACTTTAGTATTTAGTCCCCAGTGTTCAGATAGTATCATCACTTTAAAATGTGCAGTTGCTCACATCAAGGGCTATACTACACAAGGTCGTGGTTGTCTAATTTATAAATGCTCATTGTGTGCATCCCTAAACAGCTGCCAATGTGATTTGGCCCCTGAACCAGCCGAATTTTAATCCATGTATGGCCACCTCTAGCTCCAATATAGGAGATGGAAAAGTTGCAAAACTGATAAATCTAGCACACAATTAGGCAGACCGTCTTCCAAAACCCTCAAGTTATGTGGTGGTGCTGACCTTACAAACCAAAAAAAGTTGCAACTTTATTAATAAGAAATACTACTTAGTAAATACTTTAGTATTTAGTCACCAGCAGCACAATGCATGTTCTTCCTGTGATTGTGTGGCTTTCCTGCCACACTCCAAAGACATGCTGGTAGGTTAATTTGCTCCTGTCTAAATTGGCCTTAGTATGTATGAATGTGAGTTAGGGACCTTGGATTGTTTGCTCCTTGAGGGTTAGGGACTGATGTGGATGTACAATATATGTAAAGTGCTGTGTAAATTGACGGTGCTGTATAAGTACCTGTAATAAATAAAGTTAATTCTGAGTATTGTTTGAGTCACCTTGATGCTATCTTGGTACATTCCTGCACTTTGACTAAAATGTGTTTGCTTGCGATATAGGTAAAGGTACATTGAAAGGATGTGCTTATTAAACGTGTTATTCACTGTTTCACTGCACTATCCTTTTGTGTTGCTCATATTTTCATTTTAGTTTGTAATATCCAGTTGAAATTAAATTGTACCATGTAATACTGAAATCATTGTCATTTGATCCTGCTACAGTTGGCCAGGTCATGTTACTTCTCTTTAGATAGATAGACAGATAGATATGTAGCACTTACCCCCCTGAAGGAGCCACTGAGGTTATGTCTAGGTCTTCCCTAATTTTGCCCTTAGCTAGGCATAAGGTAGTTTCACAGCCAGGTGCTGTTGTCTTCAATATTCAATTTAGGGGTTGTTGTTTTTGCTGTTTTATTATTAGAGAACTTGAATAGGGATTAGGATTTTTGAAGGATACTCAAGAAGTAAGACAGTTGAGGACAGAACTTCCCTAAGTAGCAGCAAAGTCCAGAGGCGTAGCTAGGATATTTTGCGCCCGGGGACGAACTATAAAATTGGTGCCCCAGTCCCCCTCCCCGTTTAATCACATCAGTGACACCAATGATGGGGCCCTATTCCTCCCACTGACACCAATGACACTTACCTTGCTGACCCCTGCTCCAGCCTAGGCTCCTTCCCTCTCCCATTCACAGCCAGCATACCTGGTTGCAGCAGCACCATCTGCACGGCACACTTACCGGTCAGCTGTCTTCTTCACTTGCTCCAGCCACTTCCTCACTCGATCTTCGCACTGCCGCTCGGCTACTCTCCAAGCTCCGCCTCCTCACAGGTGATTGGCCACCTGTTTGCCTTTTCTGAACTACAGTTCTAGCACCCAATCACCGGTGAGGAGGCGGAGCTTGCACAGGGAGGTACAAGCTGCCATAGGCTGTCCAGTGATCCTGAGGGTGTGGCCAGATGACAGGGGCAGCATGTCATCCCGCCCACACATCACATCCAGGGAAAAGAAGACACAGGACCTGCGGACCTCTCTACCCCTCCTCCAGCAGCGCCTCCTGGACTGGATCGTTGTGGGACTGGGACACAGAGCCAGGTAAGACACAGCAGCCCGCTGCCCGCCCCTGTACTAAGTGTCCCTTCCGTTGGAAGGGGGGTGGCGGCACTACGCCACCCCCCTAAAAAGTGCCGCCCTAGGCAAACGCCTTGTTTGCCTCGCAGCAAATACGCCCCTGGTTGTAAGCCTCATTTTGGCGCCCCTGTACCTTGGCTCCCAGGTACATATCTACCCCCCTGCCCCCCCCCCCCCAGCTACGCCTCTGGCAAAGTCCCACTGTTAGTAAGAGAGTTAAATGTACAATGCTCTTCAGGACACTAGCTGGGGTCCCCTTGTTTTAGACCCACGTTGAGTATAAAGCACCAGAGGGGTAGCAAAGCACACAGAGTCCCCAAGATCCCACAGAGTCTGTACTCACAAGGCCCAAGGACAGAATGGTAGCCTTCTTCCAATCTTCCAACCAATGCCCTCCAGTGATACAAGACAGCTCAGCTCATGTAGCTTACTGAAGAACTGGGATTACCTGCCTGAGGCCATATGGCAGCAGGTGCCTGGTGAGGCAGTATGCCTTCCCTCAGGCTGGTACAATCCTCTCCATGAAAGACCCAGGGCTCAGTATGCCCAAAGAATAAATACCCTCTCCCAGCATTCCTCAGGGCTGCACTCCCTGGGATTGGTTGAAGTGCCATTAATATTCATATTCACATTCTTTATGAGTTCCACCTATACATCCAGAACCTTCCTATATCAACAGGTACTTGGATACAGAGGAAGTCAGGGGTAAAACAAGCAGCACTGAGCAAGGACCACCAACAATTGCACCTCTCTTTTAAGCAGAAATCCTAATACGATTTTCCTAACAGTTCTCCTGTTAAGCAGAGGAACCAGCTATAATCTACTTTTCTTAGTACCCATCTAGGAGGGTTCTATAGACAGATGGATAATTCTACAATGATAATAATAACATACAACTTTTTCTCTTGGCAGATACCCAGGCTTGTCGCATTACTATAGATTCCTCTGTAATTCAGCTTGGTTCCCCTTTGTTGGCTTCTTGCTCTTCCTATTGCCCTCGTACAGGAAGAGGAGCAGTGGTATGGAAGCTGGACAATGATCTTCTACCTGAGGCTCAGTATATGAATGTTCATGGAAACAATTCATCTGTGTATATCCGCAGCTTCAACAAAACTTCAGGACTGCTTCAATGTTATGTGGACAACAGTGAAGGAGTTCAATTAATGGATGAAATTCTCATAAGAGCTGGCAGTAAGTCTGCAATTTTAGATACCATGAATAAAACTTTAAATGAATATTACTCCTGCGCTATTAATAGTAATAAATCTAAGCTGCCAGCACTTAGGTGACACAACCCTGGCACCAAACACA